GACACGTAGAATTGGATGCGGTGTACAGCAGCCTCAAAAAGAAGTGGAAAAGGCATTGGCCAATCAGGACATTATGCCCGCAGAAGTGACAGGGCAAAATCGATTTTAGGCACGTTCAATTGTTAACTATTTTGCACACCTACTTCACGGTTGAAGGTGACTTGGGTAAGCAAGGTCAACAATTTACAATTGGACTAGTTTGTCTCTCCCGAAGAACTTATTTCTTTCGAAATATGCATATATATGCAGATATATAACTTGTGTTTGTCGTTATCTGGACCACCTAATTGGATTTAGCTCGAAAATATGTATTGTCATTCTTATTTTAAATGCCCATATATGAATGAACCCGACATGTATGACTGCGAGATCGCAGAAATAACGTTGCAGAGGAGGTGCAGTTGTGGGCTGTAGAATGTCGGAATTTTTACTTAACTAGAATGTCTCTGTCGTCGCAATTTAGGAATATTGTGGAGAATGTGCCACTGGTACCTAGGACAGTGTTGTGGACGCGGACACAAATTGTTAGATTACGAAGTCGCTGGGTAACCAGGGCTTCGTGGTAGTTCATGCAAGCAGAGACGACTTGTTCATAGTGTGAAATACTGAAGCATTCACTAGACAGAACGACGCATTCCCTTAAATGCGACATGTTATGTAGGACCGAGGATCACCGATGTGTAGTCTTTCCGTGGGAATTACAGAGAGAGCTGAACCAGCATAATTAGAACTAATCATAAAGACAGAAGTCCAGGACGCTATCGTCCGGCTATCTTTCAGGTTAAACCTGACTTTTTCCTGATTGTATTGTTTCAACAGTTATTTTCCCTGTTGATCGACGGGAAGTGTAGGTAAGCCGTAAGGAACGAAAGTCTCAGACAGTCACGAAAGAAAATAAAATTTGCGAAAGTCATGTGGAAATCAGAATTTATTTGAACTAGCTTAATGGTGGATTTTTATATAAGAAAATTACACGCTAATAGATTCGAGAAGCAGACGAATGAGGTTGCGTGCGCGCCAGAATTCCAAGTCACTGAAATGAGAAGAATTCGGATGCGTAGCATAAGGAATGATGTAGAAGACGAGGTAGCAAAGCGCAAATTAAAGGAAAAATATGAAACGATGTAGATTACCACTCTTTTAAGGAGAAAATCCTTGCGCCTCCAAGCGTTCAATTATCTAAAAGTTGACAGGAAGAAAATCAGGATATTTGACTCTGCGTGTAAATAGCCCTTTCAGAAAAATTTTCATAGGTCTGCGTGTGATCTACTGGGTAGTCCAATTGCATCTCATTGTGGACTTTGCGAAGTGGGAAAATGAAATCTATGGCAATACATCATAAGAAGAAGAATAAGTGCTACGAATCAAACATTCCCCCCCCTATATACTTTCGTCCTAGGTTACGAAGTATGCCCCGTCGGTTTCATCTGACACACGAAGTTTCAGTTCTGCCTTTGATACGTTGCATTTACGAGCGGGTTAAGGGGCTATCAGAAGCAAATAACTAGCCGGAATGGTAAACTTCGCCGAAAAATGCTCGTCAAACGTCGTAAATTTTTTTCTCACAAATGAGTAGTTGTATGGAACCACAACACCCCATTCTTTGAGAAGCACTCTAAAAGCCTATCGCATACGCCAAACTGATCGCTGGCAGTTCCAATGCCTTCTTGTCCAAAAACATAATGACAATTCGACCGCTTCACTTCCTAACCTGCAAATATATACCGGCGCCGGTCGAAGACGCCGCTTCAGTCACCGGATGATTACTTAAAGCTCGTAGTCCTGGAACAAATAGTGTTGCAAACAGCAATTTAAATGCGGGCGTAGGTGAGGTGTTTTCGTCCCACATGTGCGAGATATCTAATCTCGCTCTCGAATGTGAGACCTATTCCAGTTTGTACAAGGACTCATGCCTTCTACATATTCCCAAGCATTGCCAGTCTACGTCAGCTGACGACTTTCGGCCAGTAAACATCCCCCCCAGGCAATTTCGAAAATCTTAGAGGCCTTAATCTAAGATGAGGTAACGTCTAACTCAACATGAGATCGGCAAAGCTCGGTCTTGTGACGTCTGCCAGCCTCCCTTTTGGTAATCATGTTACACAACCTGCAAACAATGGTTTCGCCGCCTGAACAGTCATCATCAGCCCCAAGTGTGCACTGATGGAGACGACATTAATGTGAACGGAACTGTTGAGGATCTACGTATGCAAAACCCCAGGAGCCCCAGTCTTTCAGTTTTCCTGCCTGACTGGCCTCAAGGCAGACAAAACGACTGGATTTCCCCCATGGAAATTTGAAACTAGCTCTCTTGGCACCTGCCTGGTCTAGAATGCTATACGTTTTTATTTAGCCTTCTGCGCACTGGTGAGCGAAAGAAAGTGGAACTTGTCCAGCCTTTTGTTACCAGAAGTAGTCTGATCGCGGAACGCCCAATTGCGACACATCGAGAACGTTGTGGACTCCCAGATCTAGGTGCTTTGTGGCTTCGCCGATTACAAAAGGAACTCCAGGTGGTCATTCAAGTTTCTAAACTGTCACACGTTCAATGTCCCCACTACTTTGCAACATTTTGACCGCTGTGGGCACAACAGTTCACTTGGGGTCATTTTATCTCTTCCTGAATTACTTACAGTTAAATATAGTAATTCCATTTCTGCCAACCGAAATGCAATCTAGAGTAATTTCCGCAGGCCTATGGCCATTTCGCAAAATAGCCCTTAGTAACATGAACTTTTACTCGCTGTCATCGGTCAGAACAACCTCCACAAGTTCTGCGTACAGTATTCACCGAAATCATTTCCTGTAGTGATGGCATTCCCTGTCTGGTGTCATTTCGAGGTGCTGACTCTGCAATCCGCCGTGTAGCGAGTAAATTCTTCATCTGGCGGTGAGCATCTGTTTATCTATGCGGCCTTGTCTGATACTGTGTCCAGATTCCAAGAAACGAAGTCAAGACTAGAAACACCCGTCGCACAAATGCCTTCAAGCCAAAAAACTTCTTTGATCTGGACCGCCGTAAGTTCTGGGACCGCAGATTGTTCTCCCAGTAGACAATAATCATTTTAGCAATACAGTAGATGGACGTAATGATGAAATATTAACCAAAATTCCTAAATGCGTTTTCGTTGTTAAACCGATCATTGTGCAGCATAATTCTATAGTACTTTAGTTAACTCAGGACGTTGGCTTTCGAAGTCGGCTACCAGGATGGTCGCTTAAGTAAGCGCTGATGTGGAAAAGAATATCGATAAGGAAGCGCAGTAACATACCGAAGAGATCCTCTTGAGATCATACCACACTTCCTCCATCTAAAACATGATAGTCAGAATAAAATTCGGGGAAAACAACAAAAGGCAAGAATTAAGTAAGGTCAACAAGGTTACGTACCCAATAAGCACGCTCGTCTGAAAAATAGGAAAGGAGGAGAAAAGGCATGAAAAACACGACAAAAAGCCGAAAAAACTACAAAGAATAAAGCAAAACACGGGAAGGTAAAAATAGCAGGGCCACGAAGAACCGCAAAAGAAGGCGGGCTGACAGGGCAAATGCTGTCCTCTTCGCTATTAACATGACTTTAATGCTCAAAGAGCTATTTGGAAAAGTGTATGGAGCATTTGTTTTTTCAAAAAAGGGAAAATGGAATCCAAGCATGGCGACTCTGACTGAAAAAGACTATTAGTTGCTGGAACGAGTTCAGAGGAGAGCCACCAAAATTGTGAAAGGCCTCAGGACTTTATCTTCCCGCTGTAGACTTGATGAGCATAAGCTATTTTCTCTTGAGTACAGGCAGATCCGAGGAGATCTCAAGCAGACCTAACGGATCGTAAGGAATCGAGACTGTGCCATTCGCGACATTGATTTCTCCACCTTGACTACAAAAGCAAACCTGAGCTGGAACTTTCTTAAACATCAGGGAACCAGATCCCACACGGATGTTCGCGTTTTCACAGCGAATCGCCAGTGCCCGAAACGCGTTTCCAGAGGAAGTGATAATGGCGGACATCGTAGGGCTATTAAGACAAAGACTTCGTGTATATTTGCTTGAAGAATACCGCTTAAATCGACAGAAAAGTACTGTTGTGCCAAACCAAATATTTGCACATATCACCTGCTAATGAGATGATTGATGATTCGCTGTATCGTTGTCCTCTAAGACTGGGCGTTATCAGGCTACGGCTACAAAATTCCAAGACGCATATTCGCCGTATTCAGCAGCAGGTTTTACAACCCTACTTAATTAAAACGCATTCCTGAATTCCATTTGATATTTCATGAGTTAGCACATCTACTGTAATTTTGCGTGGTCAGATGTTGGTTAACGGTTGTTAGGGTGTGGGAACAAGTCAATGATCGTATACGTAGTCCCTCGTATTGAGAGTCTAGAAGGACGTGCCGGTTGCTGCTGGTTGTGTCAGAATGTCATGCTTCGAGGAATTCCTGAGCCTGACTGGTGTTACCCATTGCCATCACTTCAGCACCGCTGCAATTGAAACGTTGGTCATACTAAAGGGCGTGAGCAAACACGAGAGACAAGGGGGGGGGTCGCGACTGAGGAGGGATAACTTCTGCTCGCTAATGCGAGTCGGCCTGTATGGCCAATATAAACACAGGGGTACTTGGCGCACGGTATACAGTAGATGGGCTCAGTTATTTCTGATTGGTGGAGTGGATTGAGTATAGTTAGACATGATGCAATGACGAGAATGTGCTCCCCAGGAAATTTTCCTGGAGGTGGAGTTGTCGTGATAGTCGAAAGGATTTTGCCAGAATGGTCTACGGAGAATGCAAAAGACGAGGAGAGGAAGAAAGACAAGTAGTGCAGCAAGTGTGTCAAATGGTGAGGACGTCATCGTAGAGGTCAGCATGAGATAACACAGGAAATAAAATTGCGGAAATCGAATGAATTGGTGTAGCGCAATAAATTGCAAAGGCCTAGGGTAATAAGAGGCATAAAAAGAGTGCGTAAAAGCAAATCCAAAAGGGGGATTTGAAAACAGCTATGAAGTCCTGCCTGTTTGCAGATCATAGCGAATAGCGAGAGAGGAATGGCGTAGGAAAATACGCTTACTAGGCGAAGATGGCTTTGGGGTCCACGAAGATTCGCCTTTAACCTCGGTTACGCTTTCTGCAAACAGAATGCAGGGAGACGATCATGGGGATTGCTGTCTGCCTCCCAACGTCCTGTGCTACACACAAATCTCACAGACCCTAATGTCATTGCCGTCCACACCTCTATTCTCATAATAATAATAATACAAATGATATATTAATATAATATATATTATACTAGATGAGACTTATACCGTCAGATCACTAAGCCCATATGGATGTGTTCTCTCATTTGCTGACTACACTTAAATATTCTGCAATTTGCATTGCCTCTGCTTTTTGCCCTTTCCTCGGTCTACAGTCTTTAATACTTTTATGTATTTTATCTTATTTTCTCACAGAGATTCAGCAATTTGCATCGTTTCTTCTTCTTGCTCATTTGTCCTCCGTCTACTTTCTTCCTTCAGTTTTTCCCTAGCCTATGCCATTTTTTCCATTCCTTGTTATGTCATGTTTTTGCCGTTGTTTCCTTTTACCTCCTATTTTCAATAATTATCTTCGTTGTCTTTGCTTACTTTTCATTGGTTCTGTTCCTGGTGGAGGTGTTTCGGTATGCGGCGGCAAAGTAGCTGTAACATAGAAATGGAAATATTTGTTATATTTCTCTGCTTCCCGGTTTTAATATGCTAAATGCTCGTTAGCTAACGGCTCGTTAACTTTGCACTTTTTTTCATATTTACTGCTTCACATATTGTATTTGTTTTTTATTGCAATGTGTGCATCCATGCGCATTAGTCCCTGCAAATTTTTATGCTCATTTACTTTTATTTTTCTGTTTTCATTCTCTTTGACTCATTCTTCCCCTTTTCTGTTATGCGTTTTTCCGTCTTTGTGGTCTTTAAAAAGTTCATTTCGTAATATTCTGAAGTAAATAGATTTACTGAAGTCGTTTGTGTCAATCCTGGCATTAACTAAAAATATCCGCATGGAACCCATCTTTTCGGCCTGACTAACTTATTTTTGTACTTAATTGACATTTTGTCAAAGTGTCCCAGTATGCTCCGATTGGTACTTTTCATTTGCCGTTTGTTCTGCTATTGCAAACCACATTACTCTATTTTTACGTTCCCCTTTCTGAACTTTTCCGATTTTAATCACAAATTGGACCACTATTTTTTTCTGCTAAATTCGCTATTGCGTGTCGACTTTCATGCCAACACAATTTGGTTGCGCCATCATTGCTTTGACGTTTGGAGTTTGCAGGTTGCACAGATGTGCCTTGCTTACTTTGAGCTGTATTTCTCAGTCATCTGTTTATTCAACCATTTTCTACGGCTCCTGATTTTAACATTTGCAATTAAAGTGGAGCGGTTAAACGGTCGTCTGTGCGTGATAAGATAAACCATTCTGCTTTTATGCATCCAGGTTCTGTGAGCGAACACTGCATTTTGAAGGGGTCAGATTACTTTATATACCGGTTAGTGTAGTATCCAGCGTGGAACATTAAAAATGTGCAGGCATGTTTTTTTATCGGCACACTTACTTCTGTGTTTTTAATTTAATGACGGGTCTTAATCTTATGACCTTCAGTGAGGTGAGGTTTAATGGAGCACTTATATGTGTGAATTAGTCTTACTCAAGCGAGAGGACTGACGAAAGGCAGTGTGTTAATGTCCATAGTCAATTGTTCATACGACAAGCACACTCTGACTGACAATGGATTTCGACTTTTCGTACGAAAATATGTCAAACATGTGTTTAGGTTTGTTCATGAAAAACCAGCGGTAGATGATGAGCAGGTACTTACCGTGGGTGATCATTCGCAACCGGCAGTCAATAGAGCATAATTTAATAGTATGAGCCTTAATAATTGAAGCTACGCACAATGATGACTTTGCTTGTGTGCACACTAATCATCCCATGTAGAACCACTTATTTTAACCGGGAGGTTTGACTTCATTTGACAGTATTACTCATTTACCATAAGACCCGCACTTAGTGAATGTGAGCAGAAACCAACTCGTATCAGCAGTGAGGCATTAAATATTATAGTCACGAACTGGCTCTGATGGAAACAAAATTGACGGACTTAAATACATGGTAGGGGTTAATGTGCTAAAACTTCAAACATGCTTTGTGCACTTGCACTACTTGCTTCGTCAATAGCCAATGTTATGGCTCAACAATTAAGGCAAATTCGTCTGAGACTCGCTGGCGACCTTCTAGATAAAAGTAAATTAAATAAGCACAATAGGTTAAATAAAACCTCTTTACTCATCTCAATTAGGTGTCAACGTAAACCTGTTGTATGTCTAAATATGTAGTTTTCAGCCTGTCGCGAACATAAATACAGGTCAAAATATTGTCTTATTTGTCCCGTTGAATATAACACGGATAAACTTACACCAATGGTGAGTTGATCGCGCTTCAATGAGGTCTGAAAGGAGGAGGAAAAAAAGCGAGTTGTTATTCCTTCAATTTAAACCCAGTTGCGTAAATTTTAAATTTGTCTCTCTGGAACGTTTATCGAAGACAGAATCAGTCTTTGTGGACGATCGATTAAAAACACTGTAAAGCATGAAGTATTTAACGATGTACCAAGGCAAAATTGAAATTCGACGTAATCCAGAAAAACGAAAATAGGAAGCTAGTTTTACAGAACTGATTGCCTCTTTGTATACACCTAAAGATTTGTTTACTATTAAATATGTCAAACCTACTTTTATCTTTTAGACAGCGACCGACCTGCCAATATGTGACCTTATAAAACTCTTATTCCTATGGCGTCCTTGTCGGCGAAATCAAGCAGAGTCCTGTCTGCCTTATCGAGCTATACCTTAATAAATTCAAAAGCCTGGAAAATACAGCGAATTCGCAGGAGATCACTTTGGAATTTATACTCCGAAGGGAGGCCGTTGGGAAACTGTCGTACCTGATAATACACTAATTCGTAAAGGATATTTTAATGTGAAGTGCACTGAAAGACCATGTTCAAACATTATTCTTTTTGTGCTGCCCGTCTTTTAACAGTTCCTTTCAAAATTAAATTTACTAAACTACAACCATTTATGACGTTCTCGGAAGTTTCCGCTTTGCGAAGAAAATTCGTGCTACTACACATTGCAGTATTGCCTATAATAGTTCAATTGTATTTTCGGTTCTATTAAAAATGCCCTTTATTACTGTCGATATTGAATCCATGCATTGGTGCTGGCTGCAACTAATCAGCAATCACTCGTAAATTTTGACACCTTTCATCCCTTAGGTGGCATACCGTACCATCTTGGCTTCAAGCAGCTCCTTATTATCAGGACTGCAGTATAGGCATTAGGATCACTTGTGAGCTTAAAAAATCGTAGAGCTCAAATTCATCAAGCATGTAAGCGGATTTTAGAGATACTTTCTTGATACCGGACTATGTCTGATCTACAAAACGGCACAGACATATGCCAGCATCTGCCATTCTTACAGGTTTTTAAAGACGCTTTAAATCAGTGAAAGCCTTCTGTTTTGATCAAGTGTCTTGCCCGTATCATAAGTGCCCACCCTGTTGTCGCTGTTTCCGGAGGTGTGTCTATTTTACAGTAGATGTGCTAATCCATGAAATGTCAACCAACATTTCAAAATGCGTTCTCGTTTCGAAAAGATAATTTAAGTAGTGTTGTAAAACTAATCATGATGCAGCATAAATTTATAATGACACAGTTACCGACAGGGTGTCGCCTTTCGAAAGAACTTATCTTTGGCTCTATGTTAGATCTATACTCTACAAAAAATTACTACTCATATAGTGTGCAACTTTTACATTGTTTTTCGATGCCCCTGAAAATGCACATATATTTTTCCTGGAAAACATGCATAAAAATATTCATTGTTTTACTTGTTCCGTAGAAAATCACATCTTCTTCCAATTTCATACTCAAAAACTAGTATAAATTGGTTTATAAAACGTTTCTAATTGTGAGATTATTTAATAACGTTAAATGGCCGTTCATGAAACGTCATGCATCTGCATTTACGAATGTGGCTTGTAAAGTTAACAATATTGCTCAAATCCACTGCTTACTTTCATGAACCTCATATGGTCTCCTCTTAACACCGTAGAGCAATGCATGGTCTTCCGTACACGGAAAATATACAGCTTGTAGTTTTAAAACACTGAATGCAAGTGTAACAGCAGGTCGGGTCCAAATTTATTCGGGAATTAGAAAGGTTTTTTTAAAACAGAATGTCATGCTTCTTGTTGTGTATGATTTAGCGTGATTTTCTACCGAAAAAGTAAAACAATGGATATTTTTATGCATGTTTTCCATGAAATATAATTGAATTTTCAGGGGCATCGAAAAACAATTTACAAATTGCACACTACTTGAGTAGGTAATTTTTGCAGAGTAAGGATCTAGCATACAGCCGAAACGAAGTTCTTTCAAAAGCCGATACCCTGCGGTAACTGGATAATTATAGGCTTATGCTACGTCATGATAAGTTTTGCAACACAACTTAATTTATCTTCTCGAAACGAGAAAGCATTTCAAAATTTTGGTTGACATTTCATGAGTTAGCACATCTACTGTAATGTTGCGTGGACAGATGTTGGTTAACGGTTGTTAGGGTGTGGGAGTATTCTCTTTGGTACAAGCATGGAACATCGAGCAATTTTCATCAGTTCGAAGGACTGACCTACCATCCAATTGTGATCTCACTTAAACAAATATAAGTATCATAAGTTAGTTGCCCTTAATCAGAATCTGATTCCAGTCTATTAATGACTATTTTCATTGAGGATATTCATAATCCCTCTCCACCCAAGAGATGTAAAAGTACTAGCACGAAGAGTGTCTAACAAACTATACAGAATACTTGCTGGCTATTTCCGAACATAAGATCATACCGCATCATAATTTTAAGGCAGATAGTAAATAAGAAAAAGTTAGTTAGAACAGCGTGAGAAGCCGGTTGCTGTCATACGTAGGCTCTTAAAATTTAACCTAAAAGGGCCAACTTATACCGGCGCATATGAGCAAATAATCACCAACTTACAGAAAAACAGAAGAACCAAAATCGCGTGTTTCATTCTGTTGGCTTCGTGAGATCTGAGAGCCAGAATGCTGCGCAGCGATTTATAGATGTAAGTCTTTCAGATTTGAAGGTCATTGCTGTCAGTGGAAATCCATTAAATTAAATTTGAATAATCAGGCGCACACAGGCACCTGTCTGCAAAACAACAGCTATTGGGTCCATCCAGAAAGAATACGTTACTTGAGAATGGCAGCGTATTCTTGTTGAAATTTGCCGGACCATTCTTTGACGTTTTACACCAGAAGCCGCATAGAGGAGGCTCGAGGGCCCTCTAAGGAGGGGGAAGGGGGGTGGAAGACCGTCAAACTCGTGGCGTGCGTGTGATTCATCCACTTACGTTCAAAGTATGGAAGGTAGGGGGGTTCTTCATGTGAATTCCTTTCAACCACACCCAATCTAACCGCATGTGCTGCAGTTAATTGCATAATCACCATATTGCAGTTTTTCTATGGAGCTGTCACGTTGAGTTCAGTGGTCGGAAGTGACATTTACTGTTGAACAGGCAAGAAATTCTTAAAGCCTAACTGATGCCTGTGATCTCCTCGAGAATTGTGCTTGAGTACAAGCACAAGTCTGCCCGCGGGAACTATGCGCAACATCCCAGAAGGTCACTTAAAGACCATTTGCCCAGCAATTCAGACCATGTTGGTCAGGAGAGTGATCTAGGCTGAACTGGTCGCGGTCTGAATATGTTAGCGCACTTCCAAGTCTTCAAACACTGGTGTTTCTCTTTCAGACTGAAGAGTACATTGCCCCTCATTACTTGGCAAAGAAGGTTTTGAAAAAGCAAGATAGCAGACGCAGGTTTCCAGCAATTCATCATCATGCCCATACAGTTAAATATACTTTGATCATATGAGACGTTTACAGGGTTAATATGTACAGTAGGTGGGATAAATCACGAAATTTCAACGGAAATTCCGAAGTGTGTTTTCGTCTTGAAAAGATTAACTAGGTAGGCTTGTAAGACCAATCATCTTGCAGCGTGATTCTACAACAATTCAGATACCTCAGGATTCTGGCTTTCAAAAAGACTCCTGTTCAGTTTCATGCAAACTCATACTCCGTAAGAAATGACTACTTGCGTAGCACGCATTATTCTCCTTGACTTACGATGTCCTTAAATATTCATTTATATTTCATAGATAACATGTATAAAATATTCATCCTTTTGCCCATTTGGTAGACAATGACGTCTTCTTCCGATTTTATATCCGAAGAAAGGGTATAATTTGGCTTTAAAAATGTTTCCAATTGTAAGATTTTTTAATACAATTAAAAGGCCGTCTATAAAACTTCGTGTTTCTGCATCTACCAATGTGATTTGTAAAGTTAACACTATGGCTTATATTTACTGCTAACGTTAGTGCTCTCCGAATGGCCTCCTCTTAATACCGTAGAATAATGTATGGATTTCCGTAAGCGAAAAATGTACGGCTAGTAGATTGGGAATCCTGGATGCAAGCATAACGGCAGTTGGGGGTCAAAATCATTCCGGAAATGGAACAGTTTTTGAAAACCGAATTACACCCTCAATTCGAGTACTAACTTGAAAGAAGACGTAATTTTCCACTCAATAAACAAAAAGGGGAGTTTTATGCATGTTTTCCATGAAATACAATTGAATGGTTAGATGGTAGTTGGTAGCCCTCCCGGTACCGAAAACACCCAGCTACCTGACTTACGGGACCGGTGATAATAGGGGCTATACGGGTGGGGCAAATGAGTGGAGGCGTAAATGGCGCTTGTAGGGAATGACTGGAATTGGCGATCCTGATAAAGTGAAAACCTAATTTAAACAAGGTGAAAAATGCGAGGAAGGTAAACACTTCGGATCTGACTGACGTATGAGACGCCTTGCTGTTGTAGTCTGGACCCAAGAAGTAGTAAGTGCGCGATGTCGTAGGTGAAGTACGCCCAGTTCAAATCCAGCAATGTCGAAGCGCCCGGCGGGGGGATGCCGCAGTGCCTTAAACTGGAAGTGCAGAAAAGGATCGCTAATTGGCCATGGCGGTGTTTACAAGGCGTCACAGTTTTCAGCCAAACCCCTGCGACCAAATACAACCGGGCTGTTCATAAAGGCGGGGCGGTGGAGGGCAACACTCTGTCAATACGACTGATGCAGTGGATGGAGTATCGGTTGTTACCATAACTGCGCGTCGGTTGTCCTTTTGTACACGATCGCACCGGACTCTACTGGAGGTCTGGAGTAAAAAGACCCAAGGATGCAGGCAAACCGATGAAACAATCTGATGCAGGTAATGCTGTGCGTATATGCAACTAGAAGCATAATGGAAAGCATGATGAATTATAATCCGTTTAGGATATATCTTTCGCCTTTTACTAAAGATTTCCGTGTGGGTCTATATATACAGTCTTGCAGCGCCTCGTTCTCGGGGCGGTTAAAGTAAAGAAGAAAGTCATCCTGACAGGGCCTCTGTGCGTGCACCCCCCAGATATAATGAGAACGTTATCACAGATACCGAACTCAAGACAGTAGGTAAAATTTTAGAATCAGTGGGCAGGGCTATCAACTACCATCCTGCCCAATTGAATTTCCAACGTCATCGAAAATCAATAAGAAAACTATCTACTATTAAATGAAACATTTTATCACAGTAGATTTTTTTTCATGCAGCCGGGAAAAATTTCCTTTGAAAGCCAGCATCCTGAGGTCATTAACTTATTGTAGAATTCTTCTACGTGATGATTAGTTTTGCAGAGCTACTTATTTAGTCTTTTCAAAACTAAAACGCGTTTCGGAATTTTGGCTGACATTTCATGAGTTGTCCGACCTACTGTATCTCAGATAGGTTTTTAACACCAATCGTTTCCACGTCATTCGCATAACGACGACATTGAGGCAAGTGGGTATGTGATGGAGGGCAGACATAAAACGCCTTTTCACGTCACTGCGATAGCATGTACGGCCCATTTGAAGGCAAAACGACCTGCTCTTATGATAAACAGCATGCGCATCTAGATCATCAGCAGACTAAGTTAGACAATAGTCCAACCATCGAAATGTTACATGAGAGTTGATAAGAAGCATGTGATCAGCCATCTCGGCAGAAACCGACCAACCTCCCCAAAACACTGTCGTTTCTATTCAATTTCTGTACGCTAAACGCTCTGATGACCAAACACTGCGATGTGCACACAAAACGAAAAGGGCCTCCGGTTAGATTGCATTTAGTAGCCAGGAATGGGGAGGCAGACAGCGGGGTCCCTGTCTTACCGGAATGGTGGGAAAGGGGATTATATGGGTGGGGAAACAGGAATTGTTGCTTGAGGAATTCAGGGGTTTTGGAGAAAAAAATTAAACAAAAAATCTTGGGGATTTCTAGTTAGGTAAAGTAATGGCAGTAATTTTAAAAAAATCGCGCGAAAAATAGCACAGCCTGCGGAAGATGAAAGAGGTAACTGACGATAGGATAACACTAACATTAACCATAATCTTAACCCTAAACTTAACACTAACCATATCCCTGAACTTAACCCTAAACCTTAACCTAATCTTAACCCTTACCCTAACCTTAACCGTTAACCATTCATCGTTAACCGGTAACCCTAACCCCAAGGCCGAAACCAAACCCAAAATACAAAACATAATCTTAAACCTAAACCCTTAACCTTACACAGAAGCCGGACCCTATAACGCAATTCCTAATCCTAAAACATAACCTACGCCTAACCGTTACCCTCACTAAACCCAACAACCTGACCAAAACGGCCGACATACCTCACGCAGTAGAAGCACACCTACAAATAGCAAGTTCCCTAGGCAAGGTAAACACACCCACTGATAACAAGTAAGCACGTCAACGGTATCAACGTACAGTGCCTGCCTACCAACTACGATCTTACCGGACCTCCTTCGCAACCAATTACATATCACAACGGAAGCCCATTGTCCGATTACGCGCCTTCCGGCAAAAGGTCACCTAGGGCCTTCCGATTCCAACAAACAAGTACACTGGCAAAATGTTACATGAGGGTTGATAAGAAGCATGTGGTCAGCCATCTCGACAGAAGCCTACCAAAGTCCACAAAAAACATTCGTTTGTATTTAATTTTTAAGCCCTAAACGCTCTGATGACCAAACCCTGTGATGAGTCAGCAAAATGAAAATAGCCACCTTGGCAACGTACAGTGCCTGCCTACCAACTGCGATCGTAGCGGACCTTTTTCGCAACCAATTGCAAATCACAGCGGAAGCCTATTTTCAGATTACGTGCCGTCCGACAAAAGGTCACCTAGGACCTTCCGATTCAAACAATCAAGTAGAGTGACTGTTAACGCACATTTGGGACACGGAGCGCCTCCGGTGAACATCTAAGAGTAAGTTTCTTCTGCTATATACACATTACTGAAAAGTGGATTCCCCTCAGTATCAACCTCGAGCACACGAAGTCGCCGCAAAGATCACTGTCGTCATCGCTGGTAGCAACTGCCCCAGGCACTCAGCGGAAACAGCACCTTCCTGTCATTGCTGTCAACGCTCATTTGCGTCACGCATCGTACCTGCTGGGAAGATGTGATTTCATCGTAACGAGTTTGACTGGTTCCACGTAAGCACACGTCAGTTTCTTCACGGTAATTGCTTTAAACCACACCCAATCTAACCAGGTGTGCTGGAGTTAGTTGCATCATCATCGTATTGCAGACACCCTGCGATTTAATCAAGCACTATGAAGCTATGTGACTAAGAGTGCTACATATCATGCCCTTGCCAAGTCACAAAGTATTCCAAAGTCCTACCCAAACGGATGCTAGCAGCAGCCGAATGATAAGGATTCGGTCAGCAAATCCAGCTTTCAATTACCAGAAGACAGTCTGTCGCCTGGCCGAACCCAGTTTGTGATTGCACGCTGCCCAGTGCCCTGAGAACAATCACACCCAAACTCGACCATTGCCCCAGCTCCAACGTCCTTAAGACCCTGACTTCGTCGTGTATTCGGCGTGGGAATAAAGCGTGTGACTAATCTTCCTCCGAGACACATGAAAGTTGAACAAGCGTTGTCGACGCTGTCATCCTTGTGCTCCTACACCAGGGGAAATAGGGTCGGTGACTTGAACGTTAGTTAAAATCGTAGTGGCGTAGAACCGCAACGCCGTACACCGACCAGCATTTAACTCAGCAACTGGGGAGGTGAAGGGTTTGGATCCCACAGACTGCAGGTGCCAGGGAGACTACATTAAGAAGGAGGCAGATGCTCATGCGTTACCTCCGGGTATACAGGTTGTGGGCATGAATGTTCAGTCATCATTCTCGTCCTTCTCACCCCTTTTGGCGTGTTGTTGCTTATGAAAAATCTCGGTTAATTATGTGTGTTTTGGACCAGGCGGTTTGGTGCACGCTATGATGCGGGTCCGGCCGATCCACACTTGAGATTGGGTATGACTGGCTGATGACGGCTACTAAGTCAGAAATGGCCATTCCGGTCTCCCTTGTCTTTGTCGGAACCATATCTTCTATGTGTACTACTAGTCGCTGTGCGACTGCCTGCGAGGGTTCTAGTATGACCCCCAAGGTACAACGGAACGAGCATGTTCCGTAACCTAATCGGTGAGCGCCCACTATCGTAATATATTTATGTTGTTGGGTATGGCTGGCTGGGTATGGCTGGCTGACGACTGCTAATAAGCCAGAAATGGCAATTCCAGTCTCCCTTATCTTTGTCGTAATATCATTCTGCCCATATATATCGTGAATTTTCAAGTCGTTGAGGTAGATTATCGCACTGGGGAGCTAGGTAGACATCGAGGTTATATCGACAAGAGAGACGTTTATGTGTGAGGGTGAGAAACGTATTTGTATAGATGGCGGACGTTAGGGGAGATGTTGAGAATTTCACACACGCTTCACTCTGTGGGGGAGGTGCTGAATCCGTGATATCCTATATGGCCGAACATGGATTAGCATTTGGTGTCTTAGGGTGTGCGCAAGCCGGCGAACCGTGAACGTAGGCCTTCGTATTGAGCGTCCAAGTCGACATGGCGTTTGATGCTAACGTCCGCCACCTTACCACACACGTTCTTTACCCTCACACATAAACGTCTGTCTTGTCAATGTACCCTCAATGTCCCCCTAGCTCTCTAGTTCGATTATCTCCCTCACGCTTTTCATTTCGTCTGACGACGTGTTGGTGTAACCGATTTGAAAATTCACAAGTGTACGTCGATTTTCCGACGAACCTTCTTCTTTGATTTTATTGCCTCGGAATGCATACTACCTCCATTATTCATATATATATATATACATATATATATATATGTAGATCAGAGGTATTATGCATTCCGAGTCGATATAAAGAAAACAGGAAGAGGTTCTTCGGAAAAATCGAGTTGTACTCGTGAATTTTCGAGCTGGTGACACCAGCTTTCCGAAGAACCTCTTCCTGTTTTCATATATATATATATATAGAAGAAGATGGGAAGGCGATCGCTGGGACCAATTGTTTATTTATCCGACGTTTCGAACTCTCACGCGAGCCCATCGTCAAGGAATGAAAAATTGTACAACTCATCGTGTATTTAGCTCACCTCTGCCGGGGGTGACCTCTAGCTGCGCTGCTGATTTGCTCTCGCAGTGCTTGATAGGCGATTGGCAGATCGATATGTCGATTAATCGAGTCCTCGGTTGACTGCCATGCTTCCTGCATCAGTGCCTCGCCACCTGTCATTCTCTGTCGGTGGCGAGGCACTGATGAATTTCGGTTCGATGAAGTGCTTATGACCCATCTAACATTATATATATTAATATTTATGAATAATTGAGGTAGTATGCATATATATATATATATGTATATATGTTAAAAGTATTATAACGTACTCCCAAGCAAGATACTTGCTAAAAGCCCAGACACGGGTTTCGCCGATATTCTGCCGCTGCGTGACACAGCTGCGAGGGGTTCGGCTCTTCAGTGGGACCCCCAGCGTTCTCTAGCGGTTTCCGTTTTATGAACTCCAGAGAATAATCAGGTGAATAATTTCAGAAATTAATCAGTGCAGAACTTGGATGTAAATCTCCGGGACATGACTTTTTAGGGTCAGAACCGAAATTGCAATGAATATTTGAGTCGAAGTCAATCAACTACTGTGGAATAACCACGTAATGCCCATTCTACAAACAAGTAGTTCTACGAGTAGTATGAATTCCGTATGGTAAAGTTATTATACCGTACTCCCGAGCTAGATACTTGCTAAAAGCCCAGACACGGGTTTCGCCGATATTCTGCCGCTGCGTGACACAGCTGCGAGGGGTTCGGCTCTTCAGTGGAACCCCCCAGCGAACATTTGAGTCGAAGACAGTCAACTACTGTCAATATTCCCAACTGCCGCGCGGTTTAAATTTTGGACTCGCAAGAACGAAATTTCCAAACGGTTTCTACTCTCACAGAACAATTCTGCTCTCCACAAGAATTGGCTTGAAGAACGCCTTATTGCCTTCGCTTACATCGGCATTTTATCTTACGACCAAGACACCTTTTCCGCAGTCTTCACCTTCCACCGGAGTTTAGCCTTGATCTGCACCACCTACCGTTTCGAAATACTGTCTCAAAGAGCTTTTTATTGTCCCGTGCAACGTCTACGAACGGCTGAGTCGATTTATTCTTATTATTATTTCTGCTTTTTGCGCGGTTTATAGTCAGATCGTTAGCAACTTTCAAACGTAAAATTAGTTAAAACGCTCGTCAGACCTTCCACTCTCAAGTTATTTCGACAGACCACTAGAAAACGGTCACATCTGAAATTCTTTCCCGAAGATTTCCCTTTTTACACAATTTAGGAAAGCACTACGAACATGTGCGCTGCTGCTCAGAATGTGCCTCCATGCGGAGTCGATCTCGCGACCTTCAAAAGTCCGTTCATCAGCACACACCGCTCGGCCACCTCGGCACGGTTGCCTGCCCTCCCACAAAATTACATGGATTATACGGGCGAGCCATACACAAATAGGCTTTGTGGTGGGTGTCAGCTGTTAGCTTCCAGGGTCGACCATCTCGAGAAAGAGACTGAGAAATTAAAGGCTCTTCTAGAATATGACTTATACGCACCTGAAGATACAAGTGCTCCAACTGGACGAATAACATGGAGTAAAACAAATGTACCTCCCTTGAAAGGCTCTTCAGAAATGCCTCCTGTAGCAGATACGGCTGCACAGGATCGAATGGCAAGAAATAAAAATGACAGCAGTCAACGAGGAAAACAGAAAAACAAAAAGAAATCTGATTGTCAAAAAGCCAATGAAAATGAACAGCCGCTTCTAATTGATATTCCCACAGCACCCGAGCCAGAAACCACGACAACAGCCCCGTCCAAAACAGTTAATGCCGAAAGTCCAAAAACAGTTCGTAACGCCCAGAAAATTCTTGGATCGGATGGGTCCAGCACAAGTAATGGTATTGAGGCCATTGCCGAATCTACAGACCATCATTCGCTACCATCTATATCAACGGCCCCCTCCAATTTAGTTAAAACTGGTGTCGATCATCAAAACCGCGATATAGCATGTGTTCCACCACCGCCATCTAATACCCCTAAAGTACCACATCCACCAGAGAGAAATACAACAACAAAAATACGAACGATATCGCACGAGACCAATGTCTCGTTATTCAGGGGCTCTCTAATCTAATGCCAACACTCCTAAAGACCGGGTTTCGGAAGATCTAAGGCTTTTCCAGGGCTTTCTCAACAATATCCTGGAAACCACTGAGGCAATTGAAGTACTCAAAGCCTTCCGTCTCGGAAAGCGGACAAACAATCCGCCTACACCAACACGCCCCCGACCACTCAAAGTTGTGCTGGCTTGTAAGGAGCAAGCTGGGTTGATTCTATCTCGGCGCTTTAGAATAAAAGGCACAAACCCCGGTGTTTTTTTTTCAACCGGATTACTCGCCAGCAGAGAGGCTTAAACGTCGTCTTCTAGTTCTGGAACTGAGGAAGAGACTCAACGAAGGAGAACGGAATTTGGTTATCTACAACAACCAAATCAGACAGCGCCCATCATCTTTTCTTTGGACGGGCCCGATCCGGATGACCGTGCAACTGGAATAGTGGGCGAAAGCCTTAGACGCATCGAACTTAGTTCTCTGCCAGCCGCAAATCGCAAACTGAAATTTCTATATACAAATGTGCAGAGCATGTTATCGAAAGTTGACGAGCTCAAGATCCATCTATCTCATCTATCCCCGGATATAATCTCACTTACAGAAACTTGGCTGAACCAGCACGTGAGTTAACTATACCAGGATACCAGCTCTTTAGAAGAGACAGGTCAGGACGTCAGGGCGGAGGCGTACTCACGTATGTAAAACACGGGCTTATGGTCTCAGACAAAACAGATAAACTTTCGTGTACTTCTGAGGCTATTTGGCTAACTATAAAAGCACCGAGTTCACCGAGCCTTGACATCCTGACGGTCTACCGACCGCCGAGAAATGATCCCACAGCGGACGCCCAGCTGATTGAGGACCTGGAGAGATTCTCTATCCGGTCCGAAGTCTTAGTCATGGGGGACTTCAACGCGCCTCTTATCAACTGGAGTTCAGCTTATGCATCTGGTCCAGACCATGCTTTCGACCGACGTTTGCTGGACATGACCTTCAAGTTATTTCTCACTCAGCACGTCTCCTTTCCGACGAGGATGCGCGAAGGGCAACAGTCAAACTGTCTGGATCTGCTCATTACGAAGTCACTGGACAGCGTTGATGAGGTGCAATGTCTACCCCCCCTAGGTCGAAGCGATCACGTCGTACTGTTGTGGGAGTATTCCATTTTTTCTCTGCCCGAACAGGCCACCAGGGTTAGAAGGAACATTTGGCGCGGTGACTTTGCCCAAATGAAAGCTGAACTAAACACCATAAACTGGGAATCAGCTTTTTCCGGTGACATAATCAAGGATTGGGACTGGTTTAGTGAGTTACTGCACGTTCTTCTCAGAGACCACTGTCCTATTTCACGGAAGAAACTAAATTGCAGACCCCCGTGGCTAACACAAGCTTTAAAAAAAGAAGTGAATAAAAAGCGGAGGTTATGGAGGAAATTCCTCTCGGATAGGAGCTATGTGTCGTTAAATGCATACAAAGCACAGAGGAACCTAGTTAGGAAGCTAATCCTCGCGACGCGGCGTACTTTTGAGAAAGACCTACTAAATCGATCCGCAGAAAGTCAGACGTTGTTCTATGGTTACATAAGAAGAAGCACACGAAACAGAGACCCAATTCCGTTATTGAAAACTAGTGACGACCTAGAACTCAGTGAAGACGGAGAAAAGGCAGAGCACCTATCACAGTTCTTTAAGTCCATCTTTACGAAGGAAAGCGCATTTCTTCCTCCCGACTGCGACATAGTGGACGGGCCAACGATTGAGCACGCCTCTTTCGCCGAAGCTATTGTTTGCAAAGAACTGTTGAAGTTGAATGAGTCTAAATCACCTGGGCCGGATGACATACCGCCCAAATTGTTGAAGGAACTTGCTGGAGGACTATCCAAACCGTTGTCCATGCTCTTCCAAGCTTCGTTCGAAGCAGGCTATTTGCCCTCCGATTGGAAATCAGCGCGGATCACGCCAATTTATAAAGGCGGCAGCAAGGCCTTAGCAAACAATTACAGACCAATCAGCCTTACTTCAATTTGCTGCAAAATTATGGAGAAATAATGCACTTCGTAGAAGAGCATAATCTGCTATGCGATGCCCATCACGGATTTCGTAGAGGCAGATCATGCGTGACGAATCTACTATATTGTTTAGATCGCTGGACCCGGGCAGTCGATGGCAGCAATGCAGTGCGCGCCGTCTACGTCGACTTTAAGAAAGCATTCGACAGTGTACCCCATCAGCGTCTCCTGTACAAATTAAACCGAACAGGCCTGAGGGGTAATCTCCTGAGGTGGATACAAAGTTTCTTGATCGGTCGCTCTCAAATCATCCACGTCGGTGACAGGCTGTCGGCGGAGGTAGCGGTTGAAAGCGGTGTTCCACAAGGCTCCGTTCTTGACCCTACCCTATTCATTATATACGTCAACGACTGCGTCAGTGAACTGAATTGTGATGTCGCCATGTTCGCTGATGATGTTAAAATTTGGAGCGTCATCCGAACTGAATTTGACGAAGAGCGCTTGCAGGCAGACCTGACCCGACTCGAGAAATGGTCACAGGACTGGCTGTTGCCGTTTAATGTGACTAAGTGTAATGTCCTGCGAGTCGGCAGGACCCGATCTCTGAACCGGAGGGTTTACCACCTAAATGGCGTATCATTGCAGGAGGTAGACGCCCAGAAAGACTTGGGGGTGTGGGTAACGGCTTCTCTAAAACCGTCGCTTCACTGCTCCAAGGTAGCCAAGTCTGCGATGTCAGTCCTTTATCTTGTCAAGAGAGCTTTCTCTACCTTCGATGAGGACTGCTTCGTTAAAGTCTTTCGGACTTTCGTACGGCCACAGCTAGAGTTCGCCATTCAGGCGTGGAAACCGTGGACCTCTAAAGATCTCAGCATCCTCGAGAAAGTTCAGAGGCGGGCAACCAAACTCGTAAGTGGACAGGGTTCACTACCCTATGAAACCCGATTGTCCAATTTCGGCCTCTTTCCACTGAGTTACAGACAGCTAAGAGGCGACCTTATACAAACATTCCGTATACTGCGCGGCCAGGACTGCTGTCTCGTACCTACTGATTTCTTTGAGTTAGCGACCACAACGAACCTCCAAGGTCATCCACTTAAACTACGCGTAACTGGCGCCAAGCTGGACATTCAGTTTATTTGATAAGGATGATAGGCAAAGCCTTTGAAGACCCTATTTATAACATGTCAACTCGTTAGAAATAACTGTACAATAACAATGAAAATGTTTGCTATATACATAGTACTTGATTCATTTGAGTAGCATTGTCACAGAGAAAAAATATGTGGGGAACCGGGGTGTTTAGCTCAGATTCAGACTGTCGAGGGAAAACATGGGACACAAATAATCATCCAAGCGTTTCTTGAAGAGTTGCAGGGATGTCGCCTCCACGACTGACTGAGGGAGATCGTTCCATTTCTCCACTGCCCTTTGCGTGAAAAATTCAGAACGAAGGTTCAGCCTGGACATTGTTGTCCGTAGCTTCATCGCGTGGCCACGAAGATTGGGTGAAAGGTGCCACTGAAACATGTCCTCAAAGTTAAGTCCATGCTCAAGGCCATTTATTATCTTGTAAACCAGGATTAGATCACCTCTTTGCTGCCTGTAACACAGAGGGAATAGATTAAGGCAATTCAGTCTGTCCGTGTAGGATTGGTTTTTTAGACCGTTTACCATCTTTGTTGCCCTACGTTGCACCCGTTCGAGGCATGCTTTGTCCTTTACAAGCCATGGCCGCCATGCTTGTATGCAATATTCTAAGTGGGGCCGAACGGAGGTGCCGTAAACTCTCCCAAAAAGGCCTTGGTCAAAGGTAACGAACACCCTTTTGATTGCATGCAGCACTCCCATTGCGTTTTTTGCAGCCTTGTGGCACTGCAATGTTGGTTTCAAATTGTTCTGTATCCAAACCCCGAGATCCTTCTGTGAAGATTCTGCGGGGAGTCTTATATCTTTCAGATGATATGTCCTCAGGCTCTGATTTGGATGAGAGTTAGTTGGACGCAGATGGAGGACGGCACACTTCTGCACATTGAAGTCTAGAAGCCATTTCTCCGACCACGCTTGCAGTCGATGAAGATTGTTTTGGAGGGATCTCTGGTCGTTAGGACTCTTAATGACTTGCCAGAGCTTAACGTCGTCAGCAAACATTATTTTGCCACAGTCGAGTTCCTGAAGGCTGTCATTAACATAAAGGAGGAATAGCAATGGTCCCAGAACTGAGCCTTGAGGCACACCACTGGTCACGCTCACCCATTCTGACATATCATCACCGATGCAAACACTTTGTTTCCGACCAACCAGAAACGCCCCTATCCAGTTCAGAAGATCTCCCTGGATGCCGATGGCGCTCAATTTGTGAAGAAGGCGTTGGTGCGGGACAGTATCGAAGGCTTTGCGAAAATCGATGTACACGACATCAACTTCAAAACCCTCTTCTAGGGCCCTGGTCCAGATCTCCAGACAAGCTAGCAGATTTGAGAGGCAAGAACGTCCTCTCCGGAAGCCATGCTGGAAATCCTGCAAGAGGTTATTTCCTTCACAAAATTGCTGTATGGCACTCTTTACTAGAGCTTCCATCGTTTTGCACGAGAGGCAGGTTAGGCTAATAGGCCTGAAACAACTTGCTGCCATCCTGCTACCGCCTTTATGTAAGGGAACGCGGTTAGCTGTCTTCCACTATGATGGCAGCCTTCCTGTTCTCATTGACAGCTCAAAGAGCGTCGAAAGAGGCTTCGCCAGCTCCTTTGATAGCTCCTTAAGTATCAGACCAGAAATTCCGTCGGGTCCAGGAGACTTGTCTGGTTTTATTTGACTGAGGACGCGTCTTACTTCTCCGACGGAAAAGGCAACGGTTTTAATGACGGCAGTATCTTGGCGCATTTGAAGCTCCCGGCTGTCTCGGTCCATTTCAAACTGCTGATTGTCTTCTATGGACTCTTCCGTAAAAACCGATTGAAAAAACTCAGACAGTAACTGCACTTTCTGGGGCCCTTCGACTAGCAAGTTTCCGAGGCTATCCTTAAGACACGCAATTTCGTCCCTATCTTTTCTCCTACTACGGATGTACTTGTAAAACTTCTTGGGACATGTAATGGATTCTGCTACCAGTCGGCGCTCGAAAGAAGTTCTGGCAATCCGTATTTGTTTGCGGCATTTATTGCGCTGATCCTTATATTCGGCGAGTGATACTGGATCTCGAAGTTGCATATAGTTTTTCCACAGCCTCTGTTTCTTCTTCATGACCTTTTTTGTCGTCGAATTGACCCACAGCGGTCGCCCACATGGTCTTGTTATTTTTATGGGACAATGGGAGTCAATTAGACTCTCTATAATCCCGCGAAAGTACTGCCAGAATTCTTCAGAATCTTCGTTGTTGACTAACCAGGTTTCTTCCAAAAGAGCACGTCTCATTGCGTTAAAATCACCCTTCCAAATATTTCTGCGACTCTTGATTTTCGGTTGTTCGTTCGATAGGAGAGGGCATACGCATGTAAAAGCAATATGATCGCTTAAACCGAGGGGAGGTTGGGGATTCACTTCTCTTATGACTCCTTCTTCTTTACTAAAAACGAGATCTAAACAGTTAGATCGTTGTCCGTCTCTTAGTCTTGTTCCGAATTTTATGTGTTGATTGAGGTATTCATTCTAGGAGAGTTGTAGTAGCTTGTGGTCAAATGACGTGAACGGGGCGTTTGCTAAGGGAACTTTCCAGTCTATTCCGGGAGCGTTAAAGTCACCCAGAAGTAATAAGTTCTCCTGCTTGCATAACGACTCCAGTACACTAAGCAATTCCACATCGGCGATTTTATTCGAGCTGGGAGGCCGATAGACAACACACAGGTTAAGTGTCGGTAATCGTTTGATGCATATCTTGCATGAAATTATTTCAAAAGTTCTCGGCGCGTCATCGGTTATTTCTCGATGACAGCAAGGAATTTCATTTGACACATAAATCGCTGTGCCTCCTCCTCTTCGTTGAAATCTGTCACAACGGAACAGTTGGTAGCCTTCAATACTGACTTCGGAAGTTCTTCTTTTCAAACAGAGTGATCGAGGCCTGGAATGCTCTGCCTGCAGGTGTCGTCATGTCCACCTCCGTCGAGGCTTTTAAGCGCAACTTGGACCAGATTGCCACCAATCGTCACAATGCCACCTGACAGATTGTCTAGCATTTCGTTCGAACAGTTTATTAATGTTATTATATTACTCCCTGTATATAAGTAACGTTTGTTTTTTTTTAGCAATGTCCCATGTATGTTGAATGTGTGTTGGCATTCAATTCGTCTCCCTCCGAAACTGAGATGGCACCAACTATCCCTAGACAGACTACTGTACAGCACATTTAGTAACGTTAATGTTTTTAACTCTTGGAACAATTCGTTTATCTGTCTGGCTTACAAAACGTTGCCAATCTGAAGAAACTCTGTAGCCGTTTGAAGTTTCCATTTTCAAATATGTTTATTGTTCGCCTCCTTGTAACAAATAGGGAGTTAAAAGATTTAACACCTATATTTCCCTCAAATAAACTGAACTGCACTGAACTGAACCATGAAATGCCCATTCTACAAACAAGTAGTTCTACGAGTAGTATGAATTCCATATGGTAAAGGTATTATACCGTACTCCCGACCTAGATACTTGCTAAAAGCCCAGACACGTGTTTCGCCGATATTCTGCCGCTGCGTGACACAGCTGCGAGGGGTTCGGCTCTTCAGTGGAACCCCCAGCGTTTTCTAGCGGTTTCGGTATATGAACTCCAGAGAATAATCAGGTGAATAATTTCAGAAATTAATCAGTGTTTAACTTGGAGTTAAATCTCCGGGACATGACTTTTTAGGGTCAGAACCGAAATTTCAATGAACATTTGAGTCGAAGACAATCAACTACTGTGGAATAACCACGTAATGCCCATTCTACAAACAAGTAGTACTACAAGTAGTATGAATTCCATATGGTAAAGGTATTATACCGTACCCCCGACATAGACACTTGCTAAAAGCCCAGACACGTGCTTCGCCGATATTCTGCCGCTGCGTGACACAGATGCGAGGGGTTCGGCTCTTCAGTGGGACCCCCATCGTTCTCTAGCGGTTTCGGTATATGAACTCCAGAGAATAATCAGGTGAATAATTTCAGAAATTAATCAGTGCTGAACTTGGAGTTAAATCTCCGGGACATGACTTTTTAGGGTCAGAACCGAAATTTCAATGAACATTTGAGTCGAAGACAATCAACTACTGCGGAATAACCACGTAATGCCCATTCTACAAACAAGTAGTACTACAAGTAGTATGAATTCCATATGGTAAAGGTATTATACCGTACCCCCGACAAAGACACTTGCTAAAAGCCCAGACACGTGTTTCGCCGATATTCTGCCGCTGCGTGACACAGCTGCGAGGGGTTCGGCTCTTCAGTGGGACCCCCATCGTTCTCTAGAGGTTTCGGTATATGAACTCCAGAGAATAATCAGGTGAATAATTTCAGAAATTAATCAGTGCTGAACTTGGAGTTAAATCTCCGTGACATGACTTTTTAGGGTCAGAACCGAAATTTCAATGAACATTTGAGTCGAAGACAATCAACTACTGTGGAATAACCACGTAATGCCCATTCTACAAACAAGTAGTACTACAAGTAGTATGAATTCCATATGGTAAAGGTATTATACCGTACCCCCGACAAAGACACTTGCTGAAAGCCCAGACACGTGCTTCGCCGATATTCTGCCGCTGCGTGACACAGCTGCGAGGGGTTCGGCTCTTCAGTGGAACCCCCATCGTTCTCTAGCGGTTTCGGTATATGAACTCCAGAGAATAATCAGGTGAATAATTTCAGAAATTAATCAGTGCTGAACTTGGAGTTAAATCTCCGGGACATGACTTTTTAGGGTCAGAACCGAAATTTCAATGAACATTTGAGTCGAAGACAATCAACTACTGTGGAATAACCACGTAATGCCCATTCTACAAACAAGTAGTACTACGAGTAGTATGAATTTCATATGGTAAAGGTATTATACCGTACTCCCGACCTAGATAATTGTTAAAAGCCCATATATGTATGCGTAATTAAACATATCAATAGTGTTTCGCATTAATTATCCCATTCATTTTCACCAAGTGATGATGATGAAGAAAAAGAGGCGATTTTATTGGCCGCGCTGTATTTGTGTTGACGTTTTCCGAAGATTTCTTATTGCATAATTATAATAATAGTGTGTCTGTTCCTGCCAGCCTAGATTCCTTCTGTCTCTCAGCCTTTCTTGGGTTATAAGCATACCAGACGCACAAACGCTGCTCTGTCTTCTGGCTCATGATTATCGTTGGTCTCTTCGTGGTCAACCGCTGGCACACTCGTGTGACCTCTGCCCCCTGTCCAGCTGTTGTAGTCGCAGCAACGTCCGTGTGTTCTTGGGCCGTCGCCTCACGCCTCACCTCCGGCCGACGCTCTCCTCCCGCTGTGAAGGTGGCAACTGTTGTAGGAGTCGCGACTTTTTTCGCCTGTGCTGTCGGCCCTATTTCGATGGGCTAGAGTCGTCTACGTAGCACCTGGTACGCCGAATGAAGATCCCTGGTTCTGTTGATTTTGCCAACCGAGGAATAACTTTCGAACACCAGTCTGATCATTTTGTTATTGGTTCGGACGATGGCGCTTGCTTTCCCGAAGGCGAACCTGTGCTTCTCCTGCTGTATGTGCCCATATACTGGTGACAGTCTATCCTCGCGGTTGAATGCAGGCTGGTGTTCATGCAGTCGTATGCAGTGGCATTTACTGCTCCACCATCATACTTCGAGCTGTAGGTTTGGAATGGTATGGTGTAGACCACTTATAATTGTCCCGTTCTCGAAAGTGGATCTTTGGATCTCATAGGCTTGATATTAATGCTCGCTTACGATCGTCAGCGGTCATTACTCTGAAATAAGCACTGACAGTTATGGCATAAATGGGCCAGGAATTATTATCTGAATATACGATGCGCGGCTGTGCGGCTTTTGGCAGGACTCGAGAGAGGGCCTGTAAGACACAAGGGAAAGTGTGATTTCCGTAAGAACGATCGGTGAGCGTCCCTCTATCACTGATGGCATTTGTTGAAAGCCAAATAATTCTCGACATCTCATTCTGTATCTGCCACATCTGGTTAGGTAGATCACTAATTGTCCCTCAAATTACCACAGTACGAAATACTGCCTAAGTAGCATTCGACAAATCCACACCTGTTGAAAAAATGGTCTGAGACCTGCTTACACTAAAATTCGTTGTCTTCCCACCAGGAATTAATTCTAAAACCTGAATTTACAAACCAGGATCAACGGGAGACCATTCCAGGCGCGAGAAGCAAACCCATTATAGTCTACGAAAAGGTATGCGTTTTGGAAGACGAAGATAAGATTGTTGGACCAGGAAATATATTGGCTTAACGTTTCGGATTTTTCCTC